TTTTTTTTTTTTTTTTGGCTCCTTGGTGATCATTATACTACCCAAGGAATCCTTCCAGTTTTCTTTTGTTCTTATGTTAATTAAAAATAAGCCATCTTCACGTAATAAAATATGACTATTTAGTATGAAACAGTGAGCTAATGACCTTTCAGTACCACAAAGAAAAATATAGCCTGGAAGCCGATGCTCTATTTTTAAAGGGGAGGCTGCTGTACGTGGAATTATTTAGCACATTAAGTACAGGCAGTATCACATTGTTCTAATTTAGACTATCAATATACTCTAATTCCCCCAATAGCGTTTGACCCAGTGGTTCCGAGTTGCTTTTATGAAAATTTGGTCAACTGGTGAATCAAAAATCAGCTGCAGTCCTAATCAACAGTAATATTTAATATTACCGAGGGGTATAGTGTGCATTTTGCAATTTCCTGATCCTAGGAACATTATAGATTATGGATAAATATGTAATTAGAGTTTTAAGACACACATTACGAAGCCTTTCTTTTCTGTATTCAATTTTGAATCAAATTGAAAACAAGGCTCAATAATCTGAAGGGCAATCACCAAGGTTTTCAGAATCAAAGACCCTTGAATTATATTTGAGGGTGTGGATGCCGGCAGATGCCGAGAGGAGCCCTCTTTGGGGTACACATCTGGTTACTTTTAGATTTTACAAACTGAAATAATAATCACACCCAGGACTGAACACCCTTATCACTCTGTAAATACAGCTTTATGCTTTCTCTGGTCTCAATTATTTATTATGCAATTATTTATTACTATAGAAAAGTACCATGGAAATGCCCCAGCCACTTTTCCTAGATGAACACTCATTCATGTCTTTGACATCATTCTTATCTTAGCCTGTCTACAACATCATCCTCCAGGATTTATACGTTTCTACTCTTAGCCCAACTCCAATCAAATTATTATAATATCAATGATCATATTGCCCTAATATACGTATATATATGCATTTCAATATGCATTTACAGATACAGTATCTCTACATAAAATACAATGAGCTTTGTGCGCTTGTTAATTTGAAAGCAGTATTTCATGCATAAAGACTGAGAAAATTAAGTAAACACTTCTACCTGAAAAGCACATTTTCTTTTCGTAACAGCTCTATGAAAGTCACTGTATTGTGCAGTGGCATGGTCAACATTGCTTCGCAATTAGCCAAAGAAAGAAAAGGGTTAAAAAGCTACCGGTTAGTTTGAGAAATGTTCTTTTTTAGTTCTCTTGTTCCTGGCCTAGTCTCAAGCTAGCACGTGATCCGCTGAATGCCTGCCAGCCTCTTTCTTGTTGATCCTCCGGAGACCATCTGTGCTGGGGGCATTGATTAGAGCGTGTCTGCTGGGATTACATCTTTTCTGTTGCCATGCCAACTAATCAGCTGATTTTGGTTACCACAGAAACAAAATGTCAGAGCTCACAGTACGGTAACATGAATTCAGCACAACAGAAAATGTTTTCTTAATTGGGGACCCTTTTGATTTTGGATTCCAAGTGAAAGGCAGCTTTAAAAAAAAAGGCCAACTTTAGATAAAAGCTACGTTAATTGTATTGATTAAGAGCAATGCACAGAATTTTTCTGGAAAGAGAAAATATTAATTCCCCTTTAAAAGCTATGTCTGTTTTTTACCATTTCCAAACAAGGAATATATATATATATTCCCCCCCCCCCCCTTAGGTGCCTTTATTCCATTTGCTGATTGTTGCATATGAAATAAATCACAAAGCCTTCAACTGCCATGATGGGGGCAGGAGGCAGTGAGGCTGAATAGGGCTTGGGAGAAGGCCATGGTATCACTACTTAGGGGAGACCAACAGTGACCAAATTCTTCTCCATTCTTCCATTCAAGGAAGTCACTGAATTTTCCTTCAGGAAAAACATCCAAAACAGTCAACGTGGATTCACTTTCAAGGATTCCTCTCTTGCACGTGACCTGCTTGGGAGAAAGCTGATTTCTTGGCTTTGGCTGACAAAGGAGGAGCCCAAGGCTTATTACAGTTTCCCCTTTTGTAGACCCAGGACGGTTTGATAGCAATAAGGGTCCTCAACTGGTTTGCTATGTCACAGTAAACAGAGAACACAATTTTACTTGACCTTACAGATGCTACAATTGAGTAATTCATCAGAAGGACTACATCCATACCTTCTCATTATGAAATTCTGTTCCAGTAGAAGTAAGCCAGAACCTACGTCTTCCCTGAGTTTGTGGTTAATAAACACAAAACAAATAGATTAGATAATAATAAAAAAAAGCATGAGATTTAACTGGGCTAATATTTGTTTAAACACCTAACAATACCCTTTCTTTAAAAAGGTGTAGCATCCAAATATCCCTGTCCTCTACTGTCAGGATATTTCAACTGTCACGGGCTGGCTGCGGTCACCTCCCTTTTGTGAAAGCTTTCAATGCAGGTGGCTTCTGTCCTACTAACACCCCAGGGGGAATTGTGTAACTTAATCTCCCTGCAACCCTTGGTGAATTAATTCCAGTGCTAAGGGTGTTCTAGAGGAGTGGTTTGGGGACATGAAAGTCTTCCCGTTTCAGAGTGCACAACTATCATGGCTAAGATGTCAGAAGGAAGCCCTGAAGACCATTCTTTCGAGCAGTTTTGGGGCAAAGTGCCTTAAATGCCAGAAATTACCCGCAGATTCTGCTAGTAGCATCTCAGTTAGAGGTCTTCACCCACATCATCAATAATCATCCCACAGTCCTGAGACTTTTGAAAAAATGAAAATGGCACATGACAATAGCATCTTTCTTAAGTAGTGCCCTATCAACACATGTTACTAATTCTCTTTGTAGTGGTTGTTAGTTCGTTTAAAAAAAAAAAAAAACATTACCTTAAATTAGAGTAAATAGAAAGCACCTAACCCAGTGCCTAGGACATAGTTGGAACTCAATGAATGGCGGCCTTTCGTATTAGATTCCCAAAGGGAGAAATGATTGTTAACATCTCATAAAAAGTTAGGTAAATTGCTAATTATCTTCAGGGACTATAGTTTTCAGAAGGAGCATGCCCCTTGTTGAATGGATTGTTATTTATGATTTTTAAAAATTGTGTAGTGCAGTGGCTTCCGAAGTTTTATATGTTTGCTCTTAGCATAGGAAAGCTTTCTCCAAAAAAGCTTGAGCAGAAGTCCAATATATTGAAACAGTAGAACTGAAGCTGTTCTGGTTGAATTGAAAAAAATGGGTGGAGATCACATGGTCTAGAAGGAGGCCGAACTCTTCCCAGCAGAGCCCCTGAGACGCCTCCATGGACCCCTAAATCTCAGAGAGCACTTTATGACAACCACCAGTCCAGGGTTCTTTGGTTGTGTTTCTTTTATCTTTAGAGCTATCATTTGCTATCATCCTCCTGTGTGCCAAGTATAATACTGGGCAATCGACACACACAATATCATCATACATTTCCCCAGCAACCCGAAGTAAGGTTAGTATTATTGTCATTTCACAGAGGAGGAAACTGGAATGCGGGGGATGTATTCAGTTGTCTCAGAGTTCCAAAACAAGTACAAAGTAGAGTTGGGATGTGAATCTAGGACTTTGATATCAAAGCCTCCACCTGCTCTAAAGCAAAGACGAACTGAATAAGCAGTTGTAATTATGTAAACTGAACACATACACTGCCACTATTTTTTAGCTGAAGTTGGATCAGTGGGATCAATGGTGTCTGACTACCTAGTATTTTCTATTTCAAAGTCATTAACGGTGAAACAAAATAGGTAAATAAAATAGGAACTACATGCTAAAACTGATCTGAATATCAAAAGAAGAAAAAAAATGACTACCCTGTCAAAGATCACTGCATCACGGAAGAGAGCCTCACAAATTCTTTTTTTTTAAGATTTTATTTTTAAGTAATCTCTACACCCAGCATGGGGTTCAAACCGATGACCCCAAGATCAAGAGTCACGCACTCCACCAACTGAGCCAGCCAGAGGCCCCAAGAGAGCCTCACAAATTCTATGTTTCATTAATAATATAATTTTTCCTCGAAAGAGAGCATGCCTCTATGCAAGCAAAATTTGTCACTGTTCATAGCATGTGATTGAAGGAATACACTCTAAACATGCCTGGAATTTGTCTCTAAAAATGAAAACTTCCTCTGATTGGGTAACCTTGTAGTAAGTCACACGTAAGCATAAATAATTTTAGCAGATACTTCCTCCCAGAGTAGGGCAACCACGATTAGAACAAGATTTCAAGCTCTGATGGTAGAAAGATGATGACAACAGAAGTAAAAGGAGGTGGGGAGGGTATTATTTTCGCAGGTGCACACTTTTGACATAATATTACAATAATGTGGGTTTTGGTCCCCTACGTGCAAATGAAGAAACAGAGGCTCATAGAGTTTCGTGGCAACCAGTAAAGTTACTAGTAAATCATGGCTAGCGAGCAACTGTGCCGTCTTCAGGACCCATGGATTCTAGGGCTCACACTTGCCTCACTGTGCTGTGGATAAAGCACTTGTGTCACATCCTTACTAAGATACAGTGCTGCCCAAGGACAGTCAGGGAGACCCCGCTGAGTAGCTGACGTGTGAGTTACAAAAATGTGGCATTCACAAGGTGCACAGCCAATGAGTGTGATGTTTGTCGCTTCTAGGTATGTACAGAAGGCAGACTGATCTTGGAGTTCACCTTTGATGATCTCATGAGAATAAAAACATGGCACTTTACCATTAGACAATACAGAGAGTTAGTCCCAAGGAGCATTCTAGCCATGCACGTAAGTAATTTCATCACTATTTTACTGTCTTTTCTTTTACCCCCTCATTTCTTCAACGAGAAAAAGTCCAGTTCTCTCTCTGTAAAGAATGCCAACAATTTTCACAAACTGGGCAATGAACTCTCAATTTTGAGCTTTTCCCTCAACCATTTTATTCCACAGGCCCTTTTCCCTCTTCTTTGTTTGTGAGTTTGGTGCGTTGTGAGTTTTTTTTTTTTTTTTTTTTTTTTTTTTTGATACTTTACTATTTTAAACTCCAAACTGGGGTTACCGCAATAAACAGTTTGTACTTTTCTTAAATTCCATGGAGTCATTATCAAGTATTGCTCTGCCTGGGCTATTAAACCTGTTATGTATAACTGGGGAAAGAAATAAAACAAGAAGTAAGAAAAACAGTTTCCAGTCTTGATTAGAACCAGCTGACAAGACGTGGGGCTCATGTACCTCACATCTGTGTCAACGTCCCTCCTAACCATGGTGTTGGAGTGAAGCAGACGATTTGGGATTCTCTCGGTTTCATTCGACCATGAACCACGACAAATTTATTGAGCACCAACTAGGTGCAAGGCCAGATTCAATGCCAAGTTGGGGATGTGTGTGAGGGGTAAGACTTGCTAAGAGCTAGCTGAGTGCAGTCCCTGAAGAAGGCGTCAAAGGCATCGACTAAATAAATCCCTCTTCCAGAATGCATGATGCAGCAGTTTCTGTGAAAAAGCTTTGGAGCAAAATCAGACTTAATGAGCCTGATTTTTGAGACCCTGTACAATCAAAAAAGAATACAATAACAGTAGCTAGTATTTACTGGCTGTTTGCTATGCCAGGCCTTGTGCTAAGTATTGTACACATTATATTTAATCCTCCCAGTGACCCAGAGAGGTGCCTTATCACTCTCCCTGCTTTAGAAGTGAGGAAACTGAGGCTCAGGCTTGATAAGTTACTCCATACTTCTCAGCCCGAAAGTGGGAAATCAAGATTTCAACTCAGCTGGTACTGACTCCAGAACCCAGACTGATAAGCTATCTGTCTCCCGACCATCCAATTCCAGTCTGTGTCCCCAGGCTTTTGTCCTCGACCCTCTCCTCCCAACTGGTTAACCCAATCTCTACCTTTTTCACTGACCTTGCACTTTCTGCTGTGGCGCCCAACTCCCCTGCTCCAATCTTCCCTCCTATCCGTATCCCCAACTTCTTCTCAGCTTTCAAAGCCCAGTTCACATCCTTTGCTCCCCTTGAAGCAGCTTGGAGTTGTCACTCTTATTGTTTTCAGAATAGACAGAAAGATAGCAGAGGTTAGTGGTTGGGAGCCTGGGCCCTAAAATGAGACCACATAGGTGTATCCCTGTTCCTGTGTGACCTTGGGCAAGTGGCATGGCATCTCTGTGCTTCCAGATCTTCATCTGTAAAATGGATACAGTAATAGAGTCTGCCTCAGAGGATTGATTGGTATGAGGATTAAGAGTTAATGCACGTAAAGGGCATAAAACAGTGCCTGGCACACAGTAGGTCCTCTTCAAGTAGTGGTGACTGGCTTTTAACAGCAGCAGCAATATAGTTCCATTCATTTATTATTATCCTGTCCTCCTTGTGCAAAGGAAGCTCCTTGATGTCGGTCATGACTAGAGAATATCTAGAGAACCACCTTTCTTGGCTCATGAAAGGGGTTCCATAAATACTGGCTCCATATTCACAGAGGACGCCCTTTCCAGAAATTGACATGAGAAGTGACCAGCTCTCTTTTTGCTGACATCTGTTTTTTTTTACTGATATACACAACGCCAAGTGGTTGTGTGACTATGAGGAGAATTAAGTACAGGAAAGAATAAATTAAAGTGTTAGAACAACCTAGATCGTCTCATGACTGCAAGCAGGAAGACAAAAGGGTGCTTACTTGAGTCTCTCTTTCATTCCAATTTGTTTCTACCAGTTAAGAAAGAAGAAAAGACAAACCGAAAGAAAGAGCATCAACCAAGAGACTCACTTTACAATGCAATCCAAAAGAACTTTCTTTTTTTTCTAGCCCAACAGAACACTGGGGTAGCCTACGGAATGCCACATTGCTCTTATACACGTGGCGGATATTTTGGAAAATGTGATGCTTCCCCTTACAGTCCTGGAGGATGTGCGGGGTGAAAATTGTTGAGAACATCTATTGCTAGCCTCAGCTTAATGGGGAGGAAAGTTAGAATTCTTAAATATATATATTTATTTATATATACATACAATATATGTATATATGTGTGTGTGTGTGTGTGTGTGTGTGTGTGTGTGTGTGTGTGTGTGTATACGTATATATATATGTATGGTATATGTGGTAATATATATATATTGCCATTTGGTAGAAATGGCAAAGTTTTCAAATATAGTCTTGGACTCCAAGCTGTTAAAAACAACACTACCACAACACAAAACAAAGGCCAGTCCTAAAGCATGGCTCTACCAAATCCAGGGGCCCTGCCTTTTCTGGCGAGTGCCAAAGACTTGAAAGCGTCCTGGCTTAGTGACCCTCCTCCTGAAGACACGTGGCGTCTCACTGGTGGAAGGAAGTAAAGCTATTTCTCCCAAGGACTGAAAGCTTGTCTGACTCATTTTGGTTCTACTGGCCATAGATCTTGCACCATTGATCCAAAAATGTTCTTGAGCCATTATATTCAAGTGTCTTCAAAATGTAAATTAAATTGTCTCCAGCAACCTCCCCTCTGAGAAAAACCAACAGTGTCAAGATTTCATTTCTTAGCAACTTTAGTAGAATCCGAGACTTTCCTGGCACCATGATGCAGAGATGAAAAATACGATTTTCTTTTCCTGTTTTAGGCACAAGATCCTCAGGTCCTGGATCAGCTATCCAAAAACATCACCAGGATGGGACTAACAAATTTCACCCTCAACTACCTCAGGGTAAGACCAATGGGATGATTACATTTCCTGATGAATTTGAAAAGTGCTTTAGAGATTTATATGTATCTTGAACCAAGGAGTTAAAATGAGGCAATGTAACATAATATGTATGTTGTCTTACGCCACAGTGTGTGTGTATGTGTGTGTGTGTGTGCGTCCAATGGGGGATGGGGTTTAATTAACAAAACAGCAAACTTAGACATCATCAGGATTGAACTCCCTCTCTCTGTATGACTCTTGGAATTCATTATTCAAAGGCTAGCAATGTCTGCTCATCAAATGTTTGGGCGCTATGCCCCTTGTGGTTGTCTCGGGTTTCGAGTGTACTATTGTTGCGTTCACTGCCTCTGCATCTCCACCCAAGGAGTGTCTCTGAGGAGACTCTGTGTGCCTCCAGAAAGAGGGCAGCCCAATGGTGTGACACAGACATTTATTTCTAAGTCTTCTTAAGAACTCTCTGGGTAACACGTAACAGATTTTTTGGGTTGGATATGAAGTCAGTTTTTATTTTTAAAAATTAAGGGTTAGGCAAGATTCTCTGCCTACATAATAATTCTAGCTTCCATATTTGGTCTAAAAGGGTAACATATGTCACAGTGGTGTGTAATGTAGAATTGCGGTCGCCATGTTGCAGGTAGAGAATATGATTTCCGTCATAAGGCAAGCATTGTCCTCCAAACTCCACAAGAAGGCAGCGGCCACATTCCACATTCCTTTGTTTCTGAGCTCCATCATTGTCACTTGCAGCCACTTCTTCAGGCCCCCATCCCATCATGGAGTTCATGCTGTTGTTTCTTTATTCCTGAGTGCTGTGTAGGTTTGAGAATTTTGTTTTGAATTCACAACCCTCTATGCACAATCATTTTGCATATGTGGAAATGTTGAAATGTTTTGGCTGGACTTTCTCTTCTGTGAATTAACAATGATTTGAATAAATGCTTCCAAGTCATGCACTCAGTGCCATGGGCCACACCCTGGGCTAGACAGTGAAGATTCAGAGACGAAAGTCATGACACCTGCCATGAAGAAACCCACTCCTATGAGGGCTAGATTCATAGAGAGAACATTATATACAAAATGGTAAATGCCATGACCAAAAGCTCCAAGTGGAGAAATGGGAGTGCAGAAGGGAGACCTCTCAGAAGACTACATCAGAGAAGCTTTATGGAGGAGATGGTGCCTGACTTGAGTATGAAAGAATGAACAAAGGCAAACAAGAGGAAGGGGAGGAAAGACACTCCCATCAGAGGGAAAAGAAGGAGCATGATGGGTTAGGGGATGGAATTCCAAGCAGTTTAATGATGCTGGGACATGGAGTGAGAAGCCAAGAGAGTCAGGAGGGAGAGTAACTTGGGAGCCAGGTCTTGGAGCAACTGGCTGCTCAGGCTGCCAGGCCAGAAGCCTCCGGAAGGATCAACCATGAGTATGGTTGTGTCCCCCATCTGAGTAGAGGGAGAAGAGCCCTTTTCCATCCAGCCTAGATGCCCCAAAGCCAAATCCAGACAAGAAAAGAGCTGGGTCAGCTTTGCTGCCCACCACCCTACTTTGTTCCAACACCACCACCATTTTGGCAGCTCTGAACTGGGTTGTTCTCCAGTAAATAGTCCTGTGGTCCCTGCTCAGAAGGAATCCAGGGTCTGCCCAGGAGGATGGGTGGACAGGCAAGTGACCCCAGCCAGGGTAGCTGGAACTAGGTTTTTCCAAATCTCTAGGCTCTGTATTTAGAATTGCCCCCAAGGGGCCACCGGAACAATAGAAGTGAGTAGCAAGGACTGGGGAAATGGGGGTCTCTGGCATGTTCTAGCCATAGGAATTCAGAAGGCTGTTCTCCACTGCTAGGCATTTCATCATGCTAGAGACCATGAGAGATTTAGTTTAAACTATCTGAAGATGCCTCTTCTCAGGCAGAGAAAGAAGTTCCATACTCTGTGTCCTCAACAGACTCCACAGAGGAGTCTGGGATTTTAGATTCTATTGTAGACTTGGTCACTGACTCTCTGGTGAAATCTGGACAGATTCTTTATTAAGTCTTTTAGCTGCATTTAATACAAATCAATAAATGCTAAATTCTCTTCCTCCCCTTTCCCTAGCTCCTCCTGTTATCATCAGTAAAATGGTGACCTTCACTTTGGGGTCAACAAGACCCACCCGGCTCCCACGTTCTGTGGTTCTCTGATTTTAACCCACAGAGACTGAGAAGACCACATTTGCAAATTGAGGGAGACTGGTACCAACCCCTCACCCAACAGCGATATAAGAAAACATGTGGGGGTTTGGGCAATACAGGACAGTGTTTCCAAGGTTACCACTTAAATGTAGCACTTACAGCATGCTCTCGCCATCCATGCATGTCTTGACTCACTAGCCTTCACAATGGCCCATGTGCGCAAGCACCATTCATGTAAGAGAGCCAGGCACAGAGAATGCAAGTGAGTGAACTCAGTCACCCAGCTTTACACCACTGAGTGGCTGGGCTGGGACTTGAACTCAGGCTGTCTGGCTCTAGAATCCATGGTGTTCCGTGCAGAGTCCTGCTGCTTTTCTAGTAAGAATGAAGGATGATGATATTGACAGGAACTGGATCATGTCTCTCCTGCCAGGGGAGTCACCATCTATCATGGGCCCTTAATCCACTTTGCCAAAAGTAATGCCAGCTCCTTGTAGGTTTTCATGTGCAAGTTAAGCAAGACAATCCCTATAAATGGCCTAGAGCAGTGTCTAGAGACAGAAAGCACCCAGTTATTGTTCATTGGCATAATTTATTGAACGCCTCCTATGTGTTCATCATCGTGGTTCCTACTGGAATCACAGAGATCCACATGGCACCTGGCTGTTTACTCCCACTCTGGGTCTACCTAACACTCCTTTACTTCCTCTGCTCATGCATCCTGGGTGGGCAGCTATTTGACCATCCTGCCTCCGTTCCTCCCTTTCTTCACTCCCTTGATCACTTCTTCATCTACTGATTGTCTCAGGACTCTTTCATTGAGCCTACTCTGTCTTCCTGGCCTTGCCAGGTGCTGGGCCTTCAGTGTGGAGAAGATGTGGCCCCTTCCAGGGCTGGGTGAGGCGAGCAGGGTGTGGTTGGCCACAATTCCAGTGAGGTATGCTGACAAAGAAGGACCCACAGGATTCATGAGAGCCCAGGGAGGGGTCCTCTGGTCTCTGGATAGAAGCCACCCCTCCTAGCAATACTCGGGACCGCCGTGGACCACTTGATAGGTCAAGGCCGAGCGGAACCTCACATTCAGTTCCCAAAACCACTCTTTTGGCTTCCGTGATGAGACCTGGCCTGGTTAGTGGTTGCTAAGAATGACAAACGAAGCTTTTCTTTTCGGATTAGAAGTGGGATCCCAGATTTCCCTAGTGCTCTTATCAGCTGATATTCGCAAGACAGCTGAGCAGTCACCAAGTGCATTCATTCATAAACTTGTTTTCCCCTCTACCCCACCCCCCATCAACCCTCAGTTTGTCCTCTGTATTTAAGAGTCTCTTATGGTTTGCTTCCCTCCCTCTCTGTTTGTAACTGTTTTTCCCCCTTCCCTTCCCCCATGGTCTTCTGTTAAGTTTCTCAAGATCTAATTTGACAATAAATTATAAAATAAGATAAGATAAGATAAAATAAAATAAAATAAAATAAAATAAAATAAAATAAAACAAAACAAAACAAAACCTGGAGCTCCCCCATCCTTCTGAGGAGCCAGGACCTTGCCTTTGGCTTCAGGGGGTCATCCGAGGCATTGTTTAGATTGGTAATGAGGAGCTCCAAAACCACGCCCAGATCAGAAAAAAGAGGTCAGACACGAGTGTTGGCAAATATTAATCCATGGCCTTCTAAACCAGCAGAAGATTTTAATTTTTTTTTAAATGGGTGCATCCTGCTTTGGAAAGAAGGGCTAGAGATTTGAAATACTCCAGACATCTTAAATTTCAATATGCTGTGTCTTTTATGTCACAAAATTAAGCAGCACAGAAGGTAAGCAGTTACAGCCATCTAACTTCGCCAAAACAGCGTCATTCACTGCCGTGACATTCCGAATCAGTCTCATGGCGGCCGGTGGTCAGGGACAGTGGAGAGTCAATTGGGGTGACTGTCGTCGCTGGAGGAAGGGGCGGGCGCAGCACAGTAGCCAGGACTGCTTCCTGCCTGGGAGACACTCCTGGAAACTATGTGATGCATTTCACAAAATGTGTCGCCAACTCCTGGGGAGGGAGGTTGTTTCCCTGAGTAGGGTGATAGAACCCCTCTAGTGGGGAAACCAGAGACCTATGGGTGGGGAGAAGGAGCTAGGATTTCGACAATGTGTCCTTTGCCCTAATTGCTGGAAAACAGCAAGTCCTGCCATCCCCCTGGCATTTCAGAAAAAGATCCAGTCCAGCAACCACAGGGAGGCAGGGAGCAGCCTGATAGGATCGTGGCATCTGAGTCCCTGAGACCCGGTTGTGCAACCTTGTCATTCCTGCCAGATGCGCTGTTCATTGTTCATTGTTCGCTCCGCATGCAACTATTAGACACCGTCTTTGTACCAGGTCTCCACAATTTTCAAGGAGATCTCTGTATGTTTAAGTACACAAGAAAACCAGATCTGTGCAAGAAATCTGTCCTCGGTACAGTGAACAACGTAATAGCTAACATTTATTGAGCACTTAGTATGTGCAGGTACTCTTGCTATGGACTTTTTAGGAAGTCTTTTTTTTTTTTTTAATGTTTATTTAAAGAGAGAGACAGAGAGAGGCAGAGAGAGCGGAAGACAGAAAAATCCCAAGCAGGCTCCACAATGTCAGACGCGGGGCTTGAACCCGTGAACCATGAGATCATGACCTGAACCGCAGTTAAGAGTCAGATGCTTAACTGACTGAGTCACCCAGGTGCCCGGGAAGTCTTTTCTTAATACTCACGACAACTTTATGAATTGGGGATTCTTTTTGGTCCTGTTTTTCAGGTGAGGAAACTGAGGCACAGAGAAGTAATGTTTTAGAGTCACAGAGCTGGTAGGTGG